ACAGGTCCAAGATAGCAGATGAGTCAACTTCCACTAGATCTTGAACTTCAGCATACACTCACTGGAACACACCACCAAGCTAAATGTCACACCCACAGGTGCCAAGACAGTTCTGCAGCCAAATATAAAGTTCAAAAAGTGGGCAGCAGCTCAATCCCTGGTCTGCTGTGCTGCGCTTAGTTGCTAAGTTGTGTCCAACTCTTTGTGACCCCCTGGACTGTAGCCTGCCAGGCTCCTCTGTCCATGGAATTCTCCAGGCAAGGATACTGGAGTGCATAGCCATTTCCTTCTCCAGGGGATCTTCCCAACCCAGGGATCAAACCTGGGTCTCCCACATTGCAGGTAGATGCTTTAAAGTCTGAGCCACCACGGAAGTCCAATTCCTGGCCTGCCCCTTCTCCAAAATATCTGGAATACTCCTTACACTTATTGGTCTATAAACACTGACAACCTCATACCTGAAGGCAACTGTCTCTTTCTGAGATGGCCCATACTCTGTGGAGCATTTCTCTTTAAATAAATCTATTTCTTACCTATCACTTTGTCTCTCACTGAATTTTTCCTTCAAAGAGACATAAAGAAACTGAGCTTCTTTAAATCCTGAGATCAGATGTGATCTCAGTTGAGAGACTGTGCATTCAAGTCCCAATCTGGGTTTTGGCTAGGTTCGAGTCCTGGCTGGTGGGTTCAAGTCCCACTCTGAGTTGCACGGTTTCACTACCATCAGAGTCCGTTCCCATCTTTCCAACTTCATGTCTCGTTTTGTTAGAGAAGGCAGACTAGAACTTGATAAAGTTATGATTGGTGAAGGCAGTTGCCACTCTTGTTAGCAAAGAAGGAGAATGCTTGGTGTTTTGTGGGTAGCAGAGAAATCTTATTTTTGTCTTTATTTACACGGACATGACTTAGTGACTGAACAAAAACACACAATTTAGATGTGAGCTTAATTTGTCTTCATCACAGTCACAGAATGACCTTGACTGATGATGGTCTCCCATGAAGTGGTTTATGTGCAACAGGAGGACACCATGGTCTAGCTGTGTCAGACTAGTTCCTAGATGTACAAGGACACAGAAGTCCTCTGTTATGGGCTGAGAATTTCTTTTTTGATGTCCTAACCCCCAGTGTGACTATATTTAAAGAAGGAATTAAGGTTAAATGAGGTCATAAGGGTAGGGCCCTGAGCTGATAAGATTAGTGCCTTTATAACAAGAGACACCAGAGAGCTTGCTCTCCCCTCCTCATGCAGGCTCTGAGGAAAGGCCACATGAGCACATGATGGGAAGGAGTCCATCTATACACCAGGAAGAGAGCCTCACCAGGGACTGAATTGGCTAGCACCTTGATCTGGAACTTCCCAGCCATGGGAACTGTGAGAAAATACATTTTGGTTGTCCAAGTCCCTGCCTCCCTCCCCCAGTGGTGTTTCATTATGACAGTCTGAGCAGATTCGTACCTCCATATTTCCCTGCTTCTTCTGGTTTTTCTCCTACCGGTAACAATTTTAGATGGATTAAACTGTTTCTTCTGGCATCTATCCTGTCCTACGTATTTGAATTCCATATTGCACTATCTTATGACTCATGAATTTTAGACATTGTCTATTAATTTTGCATGATAGTAGATAAGTATTCAGCTTTGTTGTACTTCATTATCTCCCCTATCCTCCCACTGTAGTTATATTACAACTTTTGGTTCAATAGGTATGTGGAATTTGGGCTTCCTTGGTGTCTCAGACACTAAAGATTCTACCTGCAATGTGGGAGACCCAAGTTCAATCCGTGGGCCACGGGAAGATCCTTGGAGAAGGGAATGGTAACCCACTCCAGTATTATTACCTGAAGAATTCAATGGACAGAGGAGCCTGGAGGGCTACAGTCCATGTGGTCACAAAGAATTGGACACAACTAATCGACTAACACTTTTACTTTAAATTATTTCGTTAATTATTGGGAAAACTGTCAGGAAAACACAGCTTGCCATAGTAAGTACAAGTCTCCCCTACAGGGGCAAGTTTTCATGTGGAAAAGAAGACTTGTATCCCCAAACAGGAGTAACAGAAAGAGTGAGTGATGGTGACTAAGTCAGTAATGTCATTAATTTTCCCAAAGATCCATCAGATAACATACTCTAAGGAATACCCTAAGGAATGAAAAAAGGAAGAAAAAAAGAGGCCAGAAAAATTCTGCATGCATTTTTGCTTCCAGATGAATGGAAGGAGTTCCCTTCTTTTAAGGGAAATCTGAGGGGGGAGGAAATAAACGCTTCCTTCTCTACAAGAGCCTGCAGCAATATTAGGGACTCAGCCCTGCCAGGACCTAGGCTCCCCTGCACGCTTAGGTCAACTCAAGTATCTTATGATGGTTGCATGTGACAAGCACTTTAGGAAGTTCAAAGTGAAATGTGAGGCAGGCCAGATTCCACAGTCATTTGCCCTTTGAATTGGACGCCACCATTAATCTGCCATGTTCAGTGTCCTTCTAAACAATAGACTTGAAAAATGATGCACACACAGCCCTAAATTTGCTGAGCTATTCTCATCCTCAGCCGAACTGATTTCAGAGCATTCAGACTGTACCACGATTAGCTGCTGACACTATCCTAAAATAATATGAAGCCAGGCCAGTAATTATACATTGGAAGAAACTATGTATAGAAAAGCTCATTAACTTGTGGGGTGGTACAGGTTTCTGAAGTGGGAGCCTTTCAAACAGGATGATCATGCTCCTGTTGGTATGGCTGAAAATCTAATTGCAAATCCTTGTGTATGTGTGCTCAGTCGTATCCGACTCTTTGCGACCCCACGGACTGTAGTCGGTTAGGCTCCTCTGTCTTTGCAATTTTCCAGGCAAGACTACTGGAGTGGGTTGCCATTTCCTGACCCAGGGGATCTTCCTGACCCACGGATTAAACCTGCATCTCTGGCGTCTCCTGCATTGGCAGGTGGCTTCTTTACCACTGATCCACTTAGCTAAATGTGATATACATATATATCACCTTAGCTAAATATATATATAAATTTTACAAAAAGTAGTCATTCATGTTTATTGCAGAAAATATACAAATATAGATGAATTTAAAAAATAATCCAGAAACAGTATAATAGAGAAAATCATCGCAATCACTGTACTTTCTTTTACACATTTTTGTTTTGTATGTATATGTTTAAACTTATTTGTTACCTATGTATAGTGTATGTGTGTGTATTGAATATATACTTAACATTTCTACATACACTTTATATTCATTTTCCTCACGTTTGCAGAGCTGAAAAGCCCTATGCTGCTGCTGCTGCTAAGTCACTTCAGTCATGTCCGATTCTGTGCGACCCCATAGACAGCAGCCCACCAGGCTCCTCCGTCCCAGGGATTCTCCAGGGAAGAATACTGGAGTAGGTTGCCATTTCCTTCTCCAATGCATTCATGCATGATAAGTCGCCTCAGTCAAGTCCGACTCTGTGTGTCCCTATAGACAGTAGCCCACCAGGCCCCTCCATCAACAGGATTCTTCAGGCAAGAATACTGGAGTGGGCTGCCATTTCCTTCTCCAGAATTCCACCCTGGTAAAAATGTGGCAAGCCCTGTGTTTTGTACTTTACATATATTGCTTTGTATAGTTCTTGTATATGCAATGATGTAAATATTATTGTGCCCAGTCTACATATGAGGATGCTAAGGGTTAGAAAGATTAGTTTTTTTATCTGGTTATGTTTTCTGTAGAATTTATCAAGGTCGAACCAATAGTGTCTGACCTGGAATTTGAACTAAATGGGTTCTCAACCACTGGTGATAGTGCCTGGTGTTTGCCAGGAAGGGAAGCAGAGTCTGCAGGCTGGAGCTGGCAGGGTGTGTTTATGGCTTTGGGTATGGGTTCAGTTTAGTTGCTCAGTCATGTCCGACTCTTTGTGACCCCATGGACTTCAGCACACCAGGCTTTCTTGTCCCCCACCAACTCTCAGAGCTTGCTCAAACTCATGTCCATCGAGTTGCTGATGCCATCCAACCATCTCATCCTCTGTCACTCCCCTTCTCCTCCTGCCTTCAATCTTTCCCAGCAGCAGGATCTTTTCCAATAAGTCAGTTCTTTGCCTCAGGTGGCCAAAGTATTAGAGTTTCAGCTTCAGCATCAGTTTTTCCAATGAATACTCAGGGCTGATCTCCTTGCAGTCCAAGGGACTCTCAAGAGTCTTCTCCAACACCACAGTTCAAAAAGCATCGAATCTTCGGCGCTTAGCTTTCTTTACAGTCCAACTCTCACATCCATACATGACTACTGAAAAATCCATAGCTCTGACTAGACAGACCTTTGTCGGCAAAGTAATGTCTCTGCTTTTTAATATGCTGCCCAAATTGGTCACATCTTTTCTTCCAAGGAGCAAGCGTCTTTTAATTTCATGGCTGCAGTCACCATCCGCAGTGATTTTGAAGCTCCAAAAAATAGTCTGTCACTGTTTCTGTTGTTTCCCCATCTATTTGCCATGAAGGGATGGGACTGGATGTCACGATCTTAGTTTTCTGAATGTTGAGCTTTAAGCCAACTTTTTCACTCTTCTCTTTCACTTTCATCAAGAGTCTCTTCAGTTCCTCTTCACTTACTGCCATAAGGGTGGTGTCATCTGCATACCTGAGGTTATTGATATTTCTCCCAGTAATCTTGATTCCAGCTTGTGCTTCATCCAGCCCAGCATTTCTCATGATGTACTCTGCATATAAGCTAAATAAGCATGGTGACAATATACAGCCTTGAGGTACTCCTTTCCCAATTTGGAACCAGTCTGTTGTTCCATATCCAGTTCTAACTGTCGCTTCTTGACCTGCATACAGATTTCTCAGGAGGTAGGTCAGGTGGTCTGGTATTCCCAACTGTTTAAGAACTTTCCACAGTTTGTAGTGATCCACAACGTGTATGGGTGTGGGATGGTGGTGGTAAATAAAAGACCATATAGAAAGGCAGGAAGAAGATGGGCTGGGACGCGTTGCCCGCAGGAAGTAGCCCAGAAGATGGCAGAATCAGGCCCGAAAGGCTCCTCCCAGAAGCCCTTTCCCCAGCGGAAGCCAAGCCTCACAGGATCTCCCGAGTTCGTAAGTGGTTGGCGAGAGGTTCCTGAAAGCGGAAACACCTGGGTGCCTCACTCAGAATGGAGTTTGGTTTCCATCGCGTACCGGGCCAAACCCGCTCCTGGGGCTGCCTCCACTCTTGCCGTTCGTCGTGAGTCTGTTTGGCGGCCTCTTCGTCTCAGCTGCACCCCCCAGCTCCTAAGGACCCGGCTCAGGCCTGTGGTTGTGCAGGGGCCGGAGCACCCGAGGCCCGAGTAGGAGAGGGATCTGCTCGTGCTTGTGCTGCAAGTGCATCAACTTCTGAGAGGCCGAAGGGCCACGCCAGGAACCCAGGCTTCTGCTGTGGGCCACTGGGGCCCCCATCTAACGCCTGCCAGGTCCAGGACTGCGCCAGGTCCACGTGCGAGCCATGCCAGGGCACCGAGCTTGTTCGTTTCTCTGCGCTGCGCCCGGAAGCAGTGAGGGGCCTAGGAGTCCTCCCCGGAGACCATGACTACCTGTTCCCAGAGACTTTCCAGGAAGAACAGCCTCAGGTAATTGCTCCCTCTTCCTTGAAATATAAAGCTTACTGTCCCTATGGAAAACACTATGGAGGTTTCTCCAGAAATTACAAATAGAACTGCCATGTGATCCAGCAATTCCACCTCTGGGTATATACCCAAAGGAAATGGAAATAGGATGTCAAAGAGATGTGTGCAATCCCATGTGTATTGCAGCGTTTATTCATAGCAGTCAACAGAGGGAAACAACAAGTGCCCATCAAGAGGTGAATAGAGAATATAGGAGTGTATACATATAATGGAATATTATTCAGCCACAATAAAAAAGTAAATTCTGCCATTTGCAACAGGATGGATGGACCTATGGATCTTGAAGCCATTATGCTAAGCATCAAGGTAAGACAAAGGCAGATGCTTAACGATATCATTAACGTGTGGAATCCAAAGAAACAAAACTGGTAAAAAAACAGAGTAAAATCATAGCTACCAGAGGCTGGTGGTGGGGTAGGGAAATTGGGTCTGTGTTGTTTAAAGGTACAAACTTGGAACTAGTAGATAAATCCTGGAGATCCAATGCACTGCATAGTGATTATAGAAAACAATACATATTATAAACTTCAAAGCTGCTAAGAGATTAGATTTTTTTTTCAGTTTTTTAAAAAACTTATTTATTTACTTTTGGTTGCTCTAGGTCTTCATTGCTGCTCATGGGTTTTTTCTAGTTATGACAAGTGGGGGCTTCTCTTGCTGCGGGGCACAGGCTCTAGGCTCGTGGTCTCTAGAGCACAGGCTCAGAAGTTGTGGCGCTCGGGCTTAGTTGCTCAACAGCATGTGGAGTCTTCGCGGACCAGGGATTGAACCCATGTCCCCTGCACTGGCAGGCGGATTCTTTATCCACTGTGCCACCAGGGAAGTCCTGAGACTAGACCTTAATTGTTCCCACTATAAAAAAGAAATGATAATCATGTGACATGATAGAGGTATTACTTAGCTAAATATTAATATTTAGCAACATCCTCCTGAAAAGCATCAGAGAGGTTGTCAGGATTTATGGGTCAAGCGATAAAAAGGGTCAGGTCGTTCCCAAGTTTAGCTGTAGGTGACATTGTGAGAGAAGCCAAGGAAAGACCTACATTAACCTGCCAGGCTTATGACCGCGCTCACAGTCAGCCATCGGGATGTTGTCTTTGTCATCGTCTTCATCACGGCGATCACCTTTACAGCCATCGTTAGGGTTGTTCATTTAGGAACTCATTGCATGTGGCACAGCCCTCTGTTACATATTCTGCCATTCTGTAGTCACAGACCTCTGCTCCAAGGGAGGTTTGTCTTGCACATGTATGCATTTAGCTCTGGGAGTCTCATCTCTGAACCTTGGCTCCGGTCATATCTCTTGGCTGGGATGTCCTGCTATGGCCCTCCCTGCATTTTTATGAGGAGGTGTTCTTCATGAGTCATCACCGCTCCACTCTGGTTCCTGAGATCCAGCTCAGGGAGGGCTTCTGTCAACCATACATCCTTCATCTAAAGAAACTTTGTCCTGCTTCCCTATTTCTTATCCTAGTAAGGTCTTTGCATCTCCCTTCTAAAGTTGGAGTTCACTTCACACTGGTCAGAATGGCCATCATTAACAAATGCTGGAGAGAGAGTGGAGAAAAGGCAGCCCTCCTATATTGTTGGTGGGAGTGAAATTGGTACAGCCAGTAGGGAAAATAGTATGGAGGCTTCTCAAAAAAACCAAGTTGCCATATGATCCAGCAATTCCACTTCTGTGTGTATACCCAGACAAAACTATAATTTGAAAAAATACATGTACCCCTATGTTTATAGCAGCATTGTTTACAATAGCCAAGACATGGGAACAACCTAAATATCTATGAACAGATGAATGGATAAGAAAATGTGTGTGTGTGTAAGGTTGGCATATCTATACACAATGGAGTATTACTCAGCCATCAAAAAGAATCAAATAATGCCATTTGCAAGATCTTAGATGGACCTAGAGATTATCATACTAAGCAGAGTAAGTCAGAAAGAGAAAGACAAATACCATATGATATCACTTATAGGTGGAATCTAAAATGTGACACAAATTAACATATCTATGAAACAAAAACAGACTCACAGACATAGAGAGCAGACTTGTGGTTGCCAAACTGTGAGTGGGCTATGGGAGGGAAGGATTGGGAGTTTGGGATTTGAAGATGAAAGCTAGTTTATATAGGATGGATAAACAACAAGGTCCTACTGTATAGCACAGGGAACCATATTGAATATCCTGCGATAAACCATGATGAAAAAGAATATGAAAAAATATGTAACTGAGTCACTTTGCTGTACAGAAGGCATTAACACAACATGGCAAGTCAACTATACTTCAATAAAATATTTTTAAAAGTCAGTGTCTAAAATAAGCTGTCAGCAACTGTCTCCTGGGGCTTCCTTTTCTCCACCCAGCTCTCCAGAGTGGAAGCTATCTCCTGACCACCTTTGCCCATTCTTTGACTGCAGTCACCTGCCCTTCCTCCATACACAGAGCGCTTTCTATGGTCTCTCTCTTGACATCAGTTGTGAGCTTCTAGAATTCATGGACTTTGTCTTTTTATTTTTGGTTATATCTCCAAAGTTGGACACATGTTAAGTTCTCCACACATATTTGGTAAATGAATGAATGAGAGCAGGAGAAGATTAAGTAAAAAGCCCCATAGTGCACTTTCTTAAAGGTAGGGATGCAGAGAGGAAGAGAAATTTCCAATCTTCCTGTCACTAAAAAGTTTTACCTTAACTTTGGAGATCTCTTGGGGGATGGAGGGAGAAGCTACAAGAAAGCCTCTTTCTAGAAAAGAATGTTATGAATATATTATTCTCTCTTGAGATAGGCATTTTGGAAAACAGCCCTCAGAAATTCCCACCCTTCTCTTTGTCGATAGAGCTCTGAATTTGTGGGTCTGTCCCGATCCCAGATGTCAATAATGGTGAATTTAATCACATTGCTAGGGAATGGCTTAGGCTTGAATTCTGGCTAATGAGATCTGAGGTATCCTACATGGAGAGTTTGTGGAAGATTTTCCTCACTGAAGAAAACTGTGGAGGCAAAACACTTTTATTCTTGACTAGATATTGCTGGATTAGTGTGACATCTGGAACATCTGTTGCCATCTTGTGGCCCAGAGGAGAGACCTTGCTCTCATGCCTGTGAAATGGAAGGCTCCTGACTTTTGAGGACATCATGGATTTACCTAGAAACAGCTCCCCTCCCCCTCTCCAGACTTACTGTAAAATAATAAATCCCTATTTTAACTTCAATTAGTTGGGTCTACTATTTGTTATAGTCCAAAGTATCATAATCGACAGAGCTCACAATCCTTCTACAGTATTTTTCTTGTGGAATGTGCTGGATAGCTTCCCTTTGCCCTTCAAGATACACTCTCCACTCTTTTCCATCCTGCCCTCTGCTCTGAAAGTGAAAGTGTTAGTCGTTCAGTCATGTCCGACTCTTTGCAACCCAATGGACTGTAGCCCATCAGGCTTTGCTCTCCATGGGATTTTCGAATACTGGAGTGGGTTGCCATTTTCTTCTCCAGGGGATCTTCCTGACCCAGGAATCGAATCTGGGTTTCCTGCATTGCAGGCAGATTCTTTACCATCTGAGCCACCAGGGAAGCCCAGGCTGACCTATATCTTCTCTGTCCTCTCATCTTATTAACAAGGATAATAACCAGCATCTTTCTGATTTTGCAAATTATATGTCAACATATTATTTCTTCCAAAAACTTCCCATCAAATATCATGTTACCTACAGTTTCCTTTTAAATTTTGTCCAAGGCTGAATCCAAACTCGGTGGCTTATAATTTGATTCCATGTGCCAATCAGGGTCCTAACAAGACACAGATGGTTTGCTCAGATTTGGGTAATTTGGGGAAGTTTATTTTACAAAGGTGTGGGTGGGGTGGTGGCAACCATAAGGCTGGTCAGAGTTAGTCAGCCACATTCTGTGCCTGAATCCAACTCAAGCAGATCAAATCCAAAATCAGTTAGAAGCCTAGTTCTTTGCAGAAGAACATTTATTGGGTCAAATATTACCTTCTCCATCAACACCTCCTCTCAGCCAAATTTTCTTTTTCTTCTAGAAGGATTTCAGTTTACAGTTTTTTTGGAAAGCGTCCCTGTTCTTGACTAATCAACACTTCCTGAGCCTCCACTTGGAATTACATCCCATTGTTATTAATGTTTAGAATATACTGGAGCTCCTTGAGAATAGAGAACACACCTGATACTTATAAAACCTATCTCTAAACTGAGTAATACCACCACTGTAACACATTTCACACTTTATGATTGCTTTTATTTTGGTAAAATACATGCAACTTAAAATTTACCATTTTAACCAGTTTGATGTGTGCTTTAGGTGGCTCAAGTGGTTAAGAATTTGCCTGTCAATGTAGAAGGCTCAAGAGAGACAGGTTTGATCCCTGGGTTGGGAAGATCTTCTGAGAAGGATATAGCAGCCTGCTCCAGGATTCTTGGCTGAAGAACCCCATGGACAGAGGAGCCTGGTAGGCTACAGTCCATGGGGTCACAAAGAGCTGGATGTGACTGAGCATGTGGGCATGCAGTAGCATTAAGTACATTCACTTTGTTGGGCAACCATCACCACTGTTTACCTCAAGAACTTTTTTTTATCATTCTCAACTGAAACTCTGCCCATTAAACAGTAACTCCCATCCCCCTCAGGCTTCCCTGGTAGCTCAGACAGTAAAGTGTCTGCCTACAGTGCCGTAGACCCAGGTTCGATACCTGGGTTAGGAAGATCCCCCGGAGAAGGAAATGGCAACCCACTCCAATATTTATGCCTGGAAAATCCTATGGACTGAGGAGCCAGGTAGGCTACAGCCCACGGGGTTGCAAACAAAGAGTCGAACACAACTGAACGATTTCACTTTCAACTTTCCCATCCCCCTCCAGCCTCAGGTAACTCTTATCCTACTTTCTGTAGTCCATACTTTATCCACAATTCCTCAGTTTTTATCTAACGATATTTTCCCTGCTCTAGGATTACATCTAGGCTACCACAGTATATTTATTTGTCATGTCTCTTTAGGTGCCTCTTGCTTGTAATGTTTAGACTCTTCTTTTTGATGACCTTGACAGTTTGGAAGAGTACTGGCATTTTGGCAGATGCCCTTTTATTGGAATTTGTGAAACACCGGTGTGATTTTAATAATTGTTTTTTGTTTTGATTTTTTTTTTTGTCACAGACTTTAAGAAGTTATTAGAGTTATAAAAACATGATTTATAAGTTACAAAAATAGGTCTTTTTCTTTTTTCCTCTAGTAAACTGAGAAAAGGGTTATGATGAAATGATTAGTCTGTGCATATAAATAGAATAAATGCATTTGTTAAAAGATGCAAAAAATTTTTGTGTGTGTGATTATTCTCTTCTGATATTATTTTGATCTCCAAGGAATGTTTTTAGATAATTTTTATTTGCCTTCCCAAAGATGGTCTTTAGGCTAGAGATATGAGGAAAACTGCTGTATGAAATTACAAAAATTCAAGTATTCTTGTAATAGTGATGAAATGAGCACATCTTTTTAGCCTGGATGGAGTGAAGCCACGTGACTATTGATTTATACTACGCACTGCCATAATCATCGAGAGCTCTGGAAGCACTCCTGGTGTTGAAGGATGTGGCAGATGGGGCGTCCTAAAGAACAGCTAGAGGGTTTATTTTGGCCTCAAAGCTGGTTACTATTATAAGAGACAGCAAACTGGGCGATAGCAAGCTGCAGCAGAAGGGCCTCAACAGATGAGCCTTATATATTATTTTAAGAACTTTCCTCCAAAATCAAAACACCTTATTGCTTTATCTGCAATAGAAAACATGTTTTTTACTATAGGACTTGCTTTCCTTGAAAATGGTAAAAGTAAATTGCAAATACTTAGATCTTATATAAAAATGGTGGAGCTCGTGATTCAACGATATGATGAAACATTACATCTTTGTTGTGTACCCTGTTAGTATCTCTATATAAGTGTCATTCCGCAACTGGTCCCTGGTTCATTTTATAAGTTCTGTTGTATGGCGAGCCAGCAATATTCAATAGATAATTCCATGGACACCCTTAATCCTCAACCTCCCTTATAATTGAGTTGGGGCTAGGTGCCTATATTAAGGCCAGTGGACCATGAGCAAGAGGGACTTTTGTCAGTTTTGGTCCAAGGGAGTTAAAGAAGTCTAGGTTTTCATAATCTTCTTCCTTTTGGTGGTGACTGTTTTGACGTGGAGGAGTCACAGAGGGAGGTGGCCTCTACCGCTGAGTCACCACGTCAAGGACAGCAGCTCTATTAGACATTTTATAAATAGGGAAGAAACTTTGGATATGAGAAGCCACTAAAATTTTGGCATCTGTTTGTTATTATAGTTCAGTCTGGTGTGATGCTGATTCTTTTAAGTCCTAACAACCATGAGAGAATTGGAAACTACTAACCCATTCACCACTTGCAGTGTTGAGATAATCCCAAAGGTGGGGAGATTGATATCTGATGTGGGTCTGGGCACATGGTGGAGTTCCTGGGGGCCCTCTTTAGGCTTTGCTCATTTGCTGCCACACTCTTACTGCATGAGGAACTTTGACAACAGAAACAACAACATGATCTTAGTCCTAATTCAGTTAAGTCCAAGGATGAGTAACACACACTTTCTCCCCCCAATAAACTTGCAGCGTGGTAGGAGAGCTTTAGAACAGATACCAAGCAATTAAAATACAAGGTAGAGTGATAACGTTTTCTAGACTTGGGGAGATTATAAATTGTAGGTTATAACTTAGCCAGCGAAGACATGTCACTCACCTTAACTCAGTGGAAAAAAACAACATGCAATCATAGGTATTCATGCAAGTGTTTGCATGTGCTAGGATGTAGTAGCAGTATGGGAATTTGGAGAGTGAAGATACTGTTATGGGGTTGAGTCTTTTTGAAGGGTAATTTGTATTTTTCATGTACAGAAAAGTTAACATTGTGCTTTTATCCCAGTTTGGTGGCAAAATCTTCAGCCCTTCCTTTTCCATTTTGGCAATGAGAACCACAGATTGTTTTGGACCTGTGATATTGCCTCGCAGCGATGGTGGATCTGCATGTATCTTGTCATCACAACTGGTCCTGAAAGCTTCCACCAGCTTAGCCGGAGCTCCTCTTGTCTTCTGAGTTAACCTGTGCAAAGTGTCTTTCTTTAGACGCGACATCCTAGTCAGGTCTATCCCTTGAGAATGAACTTGGGAACTCCTCTTTTAAGGCCCAAGGCAGGCTGGTCACTAAGAGTGGTGGTGTGCATCTGTGTGCCATTTCCACCAGCTGAGCCTTCTTGTTCTTCAGGTGGGGACAGTGTTAACACCTGCTCAAAGGACAGGTGGGCTCAGCGGGATCTTCCCCTTTGTGCGTGGCTTTCTTCTTGCTGGGACAACAGCTTCTGCTTTTGTTTTGTCTCTGGGCTGGAATTGTGGGCAGCTGAAGCAGCAGTATAACTCTTTGAGTCCCCCAAGGCCTGGGTGAACTGGTGGGGGCCTTTTCAGATAATCACAGAGGCGAGCCTTTGCCCCTGACAATGCAGATGGCATGGGTGGTTAGGTGCCCAATTTTGCAGGAAATGGTAATTGGCTTTTGGTTTAAACACTTTTAACATTTTGATATTATTTAAGGTTTCTGTCAACATAATACACGGACATGTTTTATTTTGTTTTTATTGGAGTATAGTTGCTCATGTACATGTTTTAAATCAGCAGTCCCTGCCTTTGTCAGGCCTTTGGCCACCCCGAATCACATGATGGTTTACATTTGTACAGGGATTTTCCACATTATTCCTAGAGAAATAAATCTGACCAGTCAAGGGCAGACTAAGTCTGTATTTCTTGAATTCAACATTTGTAATAAATGACTGCAATATTGAGTGTTTCTGCTATAGTAAATTTTTTTCTTAGAAGGAATAGATCAATTTTTATCACTTTTTTTTTTTTGCTGAGAAAAATGAATTTTTCATAAAAACAGCACCAGCCCTTTTGTCCCTTCTTGACTAAAGGTATGATGTTAGCTATATTATGATATTTATCCTCAGGATTCTGTAAATAATTATACTAGAAGATTGGTCTTTTGCCTCTTTTATTTAGCTCTGTTGCTATCTCTTACACCAAATTTTATTACTCTCCTAATGGAGAGAGAGAAAGGAATAAAAACTGGGTTACTAGACCATATGTATGTAATATAAATATACCTATATATAATCTACCTATTTATATGTAAATTATGTATATAAATATAAATCTATATAATATATATGTGTAAATATATAAATCTATGTCTGATATGCCTTTCATAAAAACTGTTATTATAGAATTGTTTTAAGTGTCCATTATATATCCTCTGAACCAAATTCTCTAGTTTTTATTATATTTTCTCCTGGAAAGATAGATGAGGCACTGCACAGTGGAATAAAAAACAGATTTGGCTTTTGGGAGTTGGGGAAGTTCTGGTGGAATGCCAAGTGCTGAGCTGCAGGTTTTCAAAATTGTTTATTTTCAAACCTACAGATGTAGGAAAATATCACATACAGCCTCATGTCATTGCTGCTGACAGGGAAATAGGTCAGCTGCCCAGGTGGTGTCTAAGGAAAAAAACGCACGGAAATAGGTAATGTGTAAATCTTGTTTTCAGCTCAGACTCTTTTTGCTTTGTAAGAGGCTCTGTGGGATTGAAAATCATCAGTACCATTCCCTGTTTATTGTCTCTTAGTCTTGCGGTCTGACTTTTATGATTGTGGTCATAGTTATTTGAAAGTTTTTTTTTTTTTAAACTTTGGACATTCTAAATTAATTCAGTACTGATATATTCATGGTAACCTGTAAAAGTAACTCTTGTTCCCAAGGGGCACAGGCCTAGAGCCTTTTTAATAGGAAATCAGTGTGGAATTCTAAACGCTATTATTCCAGCTTTGGTTCATATGATGCATGAACTGAGTGCCCATCACGTGGGAAGCAGTAGTGGTTCACCCAGAGGGATGGATGGAGATTTTTGGATCTAAAGGATGCTGAGTAGAAAAGCTTGGGAGGAACTCTGGGGAGCATGAGTCCCCCCACCCTTCCCCAGAGATGGAGGAAAAGCTACCTTGGTTGTTTTTTCCCCAGGAGGGAAAACACATTTCATTAGCAGAACTGGTGGTAGCTAAATGTTCTTTTATCTTGTAGATGGATGATGTGCTGTGAGGCGAATTTGCTAAAGAGATGGGGAGTGATACTGATTTTGGAACCACTCTAATTCATAAGAAGTAGTCATGGGGGAAGTCACTGTAGTCAGGGGGTGTCCCAACCTCAGATATCTGGAGGAGAAGGAGGTCAGAGAGGTAGTGGGAGTAGATTCTAAAGGAGATTATGGGGTCAAAGAACATCTGGGGTTGACCCTGAAAAGTAAGTCCTCAGTACACAGTGAAAGGGTTTTTGCAGACAAGCCTCTTGCCCCATCTACAAAGCTACCTAAAGTGCCCTGATAAGCTACAGTTTGGAGTTTGGTATGTCTGTTTGGAACTCCATTCAACATAAATTTTACTCCAGGGGAGGCAAAGCTCAAGAGTCTAATATCTTAGTGATTTAAACTAAAGTGTCAGAAACTTCTTAGACTTTATGTTTCAGAATACAGTCTATATTCAAAAGATAGAAGTTAAAAAAGGGGAAATGTTCACACTGAAAGAAATCTCATTAATTATAAAGGAATCTACAAACACATTTAGTGCATAGGCTACCCTAGGCTAGAATGCTACATCACATATTCTAAATATTCCTCACAACATCCAAATGTTTTTGAATGCTAGTAGGATTTTGTTCACAAATTCTTATGGCTCAAATGAGGCACAGAAAATTCTCATTCTTTTTACAAGTCAACTAACTACAGTTCAGAAAGATCTGCAGAAGAAAAGACTGTCCCATGTTATAAGGTAAAGTGAAAAAGAAAAGATTAAAAATAGATTTAACTGCATTATGCTTTGCATAACACTTAAAAATGGCCAACTGTTTTTGTTTTAGAAATGTGTCCCCACTGAGTATATCAGGTAATTCTCCAAACTAAAGACGCTTCAAGGGAAAAGAGATGAGAGAAAATCAAGCAGATTTTATCTTAAATTTTTGTCTGATTTCAATTTTTAAAAAAAGCTTACTGATACTAATATTAATA